GGAGTGCATCCTATGGTACATGGGAAGCCATTTAAGCAGGGCGAGAACATCATCACTCTTGTATTCTAGAAAGATCACTCTGGTAGGGGTGAGAGGCATGGCTTGGAGACTCAAGAGTGAGGCAGAGAGATTCCTGATACAGTACTGGTGTCGTCTGGATGGCAGATGATAAGAAGCTCAACTAAGGCACAATTGTCAAGCTAAAGCACAGAGATGGATAAAAGAGAAACTTATGAAGGAGTCTGAGATAGAACAGAGTCTGATTTAGAGAAGTTGGAAGCAAACAAAGAAAATTCTATTATAATAACCAAGAGAGAAGAGGGCATCAGAGGGGAGTGACAACAGTCAGAAGCCACTGAGAAGCCAAGTAATATGAAGACTGAGAGGCCTCATTGGATTTGCAAAGAAGAGACCATTGGTGACTTTGTCAGAGACATTGAGGGTAGATGTTATCAACTAGCAGTGTACATTGCTGGCAAGTCAATTAGCACCAGTAAAATGAGGGGTTGGTCAACAGAACAGTGGTGGTCCAAGTGTGTTCCCTGCACTTTTCTGAGAATTATCTGAGAACTTAAAGGCGCAAATTCTCAGGCCCCACTTCCATTGAATCAGACACTCTGGGGTGGAGGCCAAAAATCCGTGTTCTTAACAAGCCCTCCATTGATTCTGATACTTGCTGGTTTGAGAACCGCCTACACACACCATACAGCGCCTTACTACCGAAAATGTGATCATTGACTGGCAGCATCAGTATCACTTGGGAGCTTGTTACAAATGCAGAATTTTTAACCCCACACCCGACCACTGAATCAGAATCTGCATTTTTAACAAGATCCCTAGGGATTCAGATGACACTGAAGTTTGAGAAGCACTGTGGAAGGATTTCAATCTGAACAGCTCCCTCGCTCAACATCTCAGATTACTTATATAAATCCAACAAATTGCTAATTCGAAGAATGGGAGAGAATTCAATGTAACACACCAAAATTTCCTCCTCTTAAGTAGTATAATAAATAACAGATAGAAAATGGGCTATAGCTTAGTCAAGACCAGGAATATTTTAGGTGTAGTTGAAGTAATGTATGTGCTTTCAAGTTCTTTGGCATTTAAATCCAGGTTACAGAAATGCATGTTTTTCTTCAAAAAGCTAAAAAACTGGGGCCAGCCCAGGGGCATAGTGGTTAAGTTCATGCTCTCCGCTTCGGCAGCCCGGGGTTCACAGTTTCAGATCCCAGGTGCGGACCTAGAACTGCTCATCAAGTGACACTGTCGTGGCACCCCACATAAAATAGAAGAAGATTGGCACCGATGTTAGCTCAGGGCCAATCTTCCTCATACACACCAAAAAGCTAGAAAGCTTCCTGAAGTTCAATACATCTTTCTGATGGAAAGTAACATCAGGCCACTAGGACTTTATTCAAAAAGTCTCTTGGTATCCTTGACAGAGACAGTATTTGGGAACAGGTAGATCTTTATATGACCTAACAGAGGATTGTTTACAGTAGGAAACCAAGAACATTAAGATCCATGCAGTTTACTGTCTGTAAACTATAGCTCAATAAAAAAGAAGCCGAAAACTATTATATTTATTTCGTGTGAATATAGTTTAACCCAAAGGTTCTCAAAGTGTCCTCAGAGCAGCCGTATTGGCATCAGCTTTGAGCTTTTTAGAATTTGCATTATTGGGTTCCACTCTGACCTACTGGATCAGAATCTCTGCAGATGGGACCCAGGAAACTGTTTTAACAAGTCCTCCAACGTTATCCTGATGCACACCGAAGTCGGAGGAGCAGTGGTTGGGACATCAGAAACACTACATATAAAACGCTTCTGCCTGCAGTGTCCCCTGCTCGCCTGAACTGCCTTTCAAACCCTCTTCTCCATTTAAGTGTTCTCATTTTTCTTTCATGTCCTTTCATAGCTCCTCTCCCCCTTCCTCTTTTTTCTTCCTCTATCTACCTATGTCTTTCCGTTCTTCTTTTTCACTTCCTGTTTCTTTCCTGGCTCACTTTAGCTTTGGACTGCCCCATTCTCGAAGATGCAGACAAATCTAGCACTTCTGCTCAAAAGTTTGCCAACCTAAGCAAATCTATCAGATACCCATGCTCAGCATTATGAAAGAAACGAAACAGTACATCAGCCACTTTGTTCTTGGAACAATGCAGCTTGCAGAAACGACAGGATAGAACCAGTCATTGTACAACTCTCTGGTATTAATGTGACTTTAATTAGCCAGAGCACTCGTGACAGTCATGTGCTAATTGTCCACAAGATGTCCGATGTCGTGAAAGAGTACAAGATTTTCAGTCTACAGGCAATTCACTAGAACATTTGGGCTCTGTTTTAGGATTGTGTGTTCATGCCTTTACCACAAGTGGTGGCTAATAACCACAGCAGGAGCAAATATTAATAATATTAATATTAATAAAAAGCGTTATCTTGTTTAACTGAAATTGTCTCTATTATACAGCCTACTGCTAATAAAAGTAATCGCTCATAATTTTTTAGTACTAAATATGGGCCAGGCCTTCTTCTATGAGCTTTACAGTCTCTACTGTATTTAAATCGCCCCACAATCCTGTGAGTTCTGCAATATTACCATCTCCACTTTACAGACAAGGAAATGGAAGCGTGGAAGGGTTAAGTACCTTGTGGAGGGTCGCATTGCTGGAAATTCCTAGAGACAGGATTTGCTTCTAAGCGATCTAGCTTTGGGGTCCTAGATCACAACCACTGTGTGACACTGCTTCTCAAGTAAGAATGAATTGAATTATACAAGGCACATGTAAATTTCACGCTCCTTCATATTTCACACTAAGAGGCCAAATTTATTCAATATTTTCATGTTTCTAATACTTTAACTTGGAAAGAGTATGTTGGAGTGGAACAGACACTAGCCTGGGAGCCAGGAGTCCTCAATTTTAATCTCAATGTTTAGGCAACTAACTAGATGATTATGGGGAAAACTCACAGGTTTCATCTCAATGGGTCACAATTTCTTCCCTTGTAAACAGAGAGTGTTAGACTCCATTAGATCATATTTATGGCTATTTCCAGATCCAACATTCTATGAATTCTAAGAATAAAACATAGTCCCAGGAAATAATTAAACATAGGAATTTAATGGTACACAGAAGCATGATTAATCAATTTTCTAATTATTCCTTTAGCTATAATATAAACAAATAACTCAATATGGCATACTTCTTAATTATTTAGGCAGAACAGAAGTATTTGCTACTATGTGAACAACGTGCATAGAAATGAAGACTAGAGTACATTAGTTCAACGTAACAAAGGCCAGAGGTGAGGGATTGTATGTTTCCTACTTTTGCTGTAACAAATTATCACAACCTTAGTGACTTAAAACAAGTTTATTATTTTATAGTTCTGGAGGTTAAAAATCTAAAAATGTGTCTTATGGCGCTAACATCAAGGTTTCAGCAGGGCTGCATTCCTTCTGCAGGCCCTAGGGGAGCATCAGTTTCCTTGACTTTCCTTGACAATTTCCGTGACAATTTCCTCCAGCTTTCGGAGGTTGCCCACATTTCTTGGCTGATGGCACCCTTCCCCCATCCTCAAAGCCAGCAATGGCAGGTTCAGTTCTCACATCATATCATTCCCACCTCTTTGCTATCTCTCATCAACATAAAAGGACCCTTGTGATCAGATTTCACCTACCTGAATAACCCAGGATAACCTATCTCAAAACCCTTAACTTAATCACATTTGCAAAGTTCTTTTGCTGTGTGAGGTAACATATGAATAGGTTTCAGGGATTAGGACATGGACATCTTTTTCTTTTTTTCTTTCCTTTTTTTTGTGAGGAAGATTGGCCCTGAGCTAACATCTATTGCCAATCTTCCTCTTTTTGCTTGAGGAAGATCATGGCTGACTAACATCCATGTCAATCTTCTTCTATTTTATGTGGGATGCCGCCACAGCATGGCTTGACAAGTGGTGCTAAGTCCAAGCTGGGATCCGAACCTGCAACGCCCAGGCCGCCAAAGCAGAGGGTGCGAACTTAACCACCATGCCACCAGGCTGGCCCCCAGGACAAGGACATCTTAGAGGGGCCATTATTCTGCTACTATGAGGATATTCTAGGGTTCTCCAGGAAGACTTCTATGTCATATATTCAAAAACAAAATACTGTTCATAACAAAAAGGAAAAATATTCAATTCTCAGATACTGTAATATTAATGAAATTCACACTTAATTAAACAATGAAGTGCCTATGGCCATTTATTGACTATTTTCTAGAGTAGATATTGCTTTGAGTTGCAAAGAATGTCAGAGCCCAGAAAAGCCATAGAGATGACCTCGTGAAGTCAAGCCCTCTGATTTCACACAGAGGAAACTAAGGCCCAGAGAGACTAATGATTTGCTACTGAGTGAGAAGTCACCCTGACACCTCCTAGCTTGGTTTCGAGGTCCAAGTTTTCCCATTACACCTTTAGACTGCCTTTCACTCTTTCACTCTACCAATAATTTCTGAGACTTCTCTGTACAATTTCTTAGTTTAATGCTTAAGGAAGAATCTTAGCTAAATATTCTTTGGTATACTAGACAACTCAGACCCCCTTTACAGCTAACACTAATGATCAGAACAGGCCTCTTACTCTTCCTTCTTCTTTGGGGAAGTATCTGGAAGAGCAAGATACTGCCAGAGGAAAAAAAAGTCTCGGTCTTTTGATTGCCATGTGACGCTGAAGAGTAGGAGGAAAACTATGCTGTGGTAAGGAAAGCAGCTAAACCACAGCCAAGGGGCTCATTGAAAAAACATTTTGTAAATACCTTTTCTTACCCTTAAAATGTGTCAAATGCAATGCCTTAGATGCCATGCTAATAAGGAGATTTAATTCCATATGGGCTGTTTATAAAGTAAAAATTATATTAATCACAAAAAATGTAAGAATAACAAAAACTTAATTGACTCTTTAAAAATATGCCATAGTTTTTCTAGGCCAAATCTTTGTTTTGAAAAGGAAAATCTTACCTTTTGCATGGCACAGAGCAAAGAGCGCAACAGCAGTCCTAAACACAGGCAGCACGGACAGCATTGCCAGCCTCTCCACCCCAAGTTTCCCCTTTCTTCAAAAGCAGAAAATTTTAGCTGCTTCTTGGAGAAAGGCAGCAAAGCCCTTCTGAAATACTGCTGTTAGAAACGCTACCACTAGGAAACCACATTAACAGATTAAAGGTTAAAGAGTATACAGTGATTTCAACAGACGCCAAGAAAGCATTGTTGAAATACAAAATCCATTCCTGTTTTTGGGTTTTTTTAAAAATTTCATCTTACCAAGCCAGCAGTGGAAAGAAATTTTCTTAAATAAACTTGCTGTAGAGGATCCACTAGAATTTTAAAGCAAAAATCATAATGGTGAAACCCATTTTCCTCGAGATTCCAATTAGCTTTTCAGTGCCTCACTTATAAGATGAATGAATAGTCAAGGATCCTTAGATACTTGGTTAAAAGCTCTAACAAGATCAAAATAAACAAGCACATAGGGAAAAAATGCTGGGAGCAGAAGAACAAAGAGTTGTTTTTTTTTTTAACTACAGAATAAAGGAAGGGAGGAAAGAAAAAAGAGGGAAAGAAGAAGGAAGACAACATTCAGAGAACATAAAAGACCTCTGGATATTTAAAAGTGCATATGAAAACCAAAACAAAGCAAAACCAAGAGAAAGGATGGAAGATAAAGTGGAGAACATCTCCAAGAAAGTAGAACAAAAAGATATAGGAGTTGAAAATAGTAGAGAAAAGATAAGATATATAGGGGATCAATCCATGAGATTCAGTGTCTGAATAGTAGGAATTCTAAAGAAAAGGCTCGGAGAAAATGATAGAGAGGACATTATTGAAGAAATAATAGAAGAAAATTTCAAGAACTAATGAACATGGGTTTCCAGACTCAATTACAAAGCACAAAGGCACACCAAGGCACATCACTGTGAAATTTCAGAGTACTCAGGACAAATAGAAGATTCTGTAAGCTTCCAGAAAGCAAAACAGCTTACATAAAAATGACAGTGAATTTCAAATAGCAACACTTTTAGCAAGTAATTAAAGAAGAAAAGTCTTCAAAATTTTGAGGGAAAAATATTTCTAACAGATATCTGAATTCAGCCAAATTATGAATCCTATCTAGTGTGACACATTTCAGACATTTAGAGCCTCAAAAACTTTACTAGCCATAAGTCTTTATAAGGAAGCTACTGAAGAATGTGCCACAAAAACAAGGGAGTAAAATAAGAATGAGGAAGACTTGGGGTTCAAAATTACAGTGATGCAAGAAAAGGAAGAAGTCAGAGGACTTCTTAGATTGATGGCAGAGGCAAAGTGTGGGATGACTGATGTCCAGCTGGCTAGAGAGCAGTTATTTTTAGTTGGAGAAAGAAGACTACACCAGTCAGGACAGGCTAAGTTATGCCGCAGTAATAAACAGCTTCAAAAAAGCTCAGTGAATTAAAATATTGAAGTTATTTTTTTCTCTCACTCTACATGTCCATTGTAGATTAGCTTGATAAGCAGACAATCTCTGCTCACTATAGTCACTGAGAAATCATGCCAAAAGGACAGCCCCCTTCTGCAAAGTTGATGACAAATGACTTCTACCACAAAATCAAGGACAAGAAGGATGTCTCCAAGAATTTTTTCAAAAAAAGTGAAATATACATATTACTTTAATTGACCATATTAAAACAAATTTTCTAGTTTTGTTGCGAAGTCCGGGGTTCAATTAGTGATAGGCACACAAAAAACTCAGCAAAAGAAAAAAACTAATGTTGCACTAGAAAGGAAAGGTAATCATACTACATTATGTAGCTTAGTTGTGAGCAAAATGCTTACAATCATATCAGTATTGACACTGAATATTGATTTAAAAAAAACATTTGTGGTGTAATAAACAATATTTGTGGATGAAGAAGTATGTGTAAAGGTTATATAAGAGAGCTAAAGCCTTATCTTCTAAGGAATGAAATAAATAGGAAGTAAAATAAATGGAAAAATAAAAAATAGAAGAATTATATTAGAATTATGTTAGAAATTATATTATATAAAGAATTATATTAGAAATATGAAAGTCAATATTATTAATAATACTAACTTAGGAATTGGAAAACCTTTGCCATAGTGGAATAGAAAATGAAGATGGAGAAAGTTTGAAGAATACTGTTTTTGTAATATCATATGACTTAAATTACATACACATATTAATTTGATAGAGCTTGTCCTTTGCATAAACTGAGCTTTGATCTCTAGATTTATGATTTTCATCAAATGTAATTTTTCAGACATTATTCCTTCAAATATTTTTTCTGATCTCACTTTGTCCACTTCTCCTTCTGGGTCTAATTAGATAGACATTTAGCCCCTACACGTTGGTCCATAGCTGGCTCATTAATGCTCTGTTCATTTTTTTTCACTCTGTTTCTCTCTTGTTTCATTCTGGATAGTTTTTATTGCTGTATCTTCAAGTACACTAGCCTTTTCTTCTACAGTTTGTAATCTGCTGTTAACCTCAGCCAATGTATTTTCATCTCTAGAAGCTTGACTTGTGGTTTTTAAAATATCTTTCTTTTCTCTTCTCGTAAAGTTCATGCTTTTCTGTACTTTATTGAACATATGGAGTGTACTTACATAGTATTTTAATGTTTCTCTACTCGTTTTTCATCTGTGTCATTTCTGGATTAATTTCAATTGATTGATTTTTTTCTCATTATAGTTGTATTTTCTTGCTTATTTGCATGCTTGCTAATTTTTTTTGAAGGATTTTTTTTAAGATTGGCACCTGAATTAACATCTGTTGCCAATTTTCTTTTTTTCTTCTTCTTCTCCCAAAAGCACCCCAGTACATAGATGTATATTCTAGGTGTAAGTCCTTCTGGTTGTGCTATCATGCTTGTTAATTTTTAATTCAATTCCAAATACAGTCAAGCATCACTTAACAATGGGGACACATTCTGAGAAATGTGTTGCTAGGCAATTTCGTCATTGTGCGAACATCATAGCATGTACTTACGCAAACCTAGATGTTACAGCTTACTGCTCACCTAAGCTATATGGTACTTATGGGACCACTGTGGTATATGCAGTCCATTGTTGACTAAAATGTCATTATTCAGTATGTGACTATGCTGCGAATTTTACTTTGTGGGGTCCTGGATGTTTTTGAATTCTTATAAGTATTCTTTATCTTGCTCTGGGACATGGTTAAGTTAATTGGAAACAGTCTTATCCCTCTGAAGCTTGCTTTTTTAGGTGGGACCAGAACAGTCTGTTGGTCTAGGACTAATTTGTCACACCCCCAAGTACTCCTTGTGAGTATTCTACTTGATACCTGGTGTGTTAGGGGGTCTTTCCATTCTGGGTGTTGGGAACACAAAGTATTCTCTGCCTTGGGTGAGGTTTGGAGGCTGTCTGCCCGAACTTTTCAGGAGGTTCTTTCCCTGGCCTCGGATACTTTTCTTACACACGTGTGCGAATCGTTACCCAGCTGCAGATTTGAGAGGAACCCTCTGCAGAAGTCCAGCGCTCTCTTCAGCTCTTCCCTCTCTGACCCTCTGCCTTGTGAGTTGTAGCAGCCTTAGCATCCCTGCATTCTGAGCTCAGTATCCTGAAGTCAGGGAGCCCACCAGGCTCTGGTCGGGTTCTCCTCCACTGCAACGCAGCCTGAAGTTTTCTCTAGGTTGCAAACTGGGGCATTTGTAAGGCCGTCATTATTTAATTTCCTTCTCTCAGGGGTCCCAATTCTGTACTGCCTGTCGTCTAAAGTCTGAAAATCTCTCTTTTATATATTTTGTCCTGCTTTTAGTTGTTTAAGGCAAGGGGGTAAATCTGATCCCTGTTACTCACCATGGGAGATTGTATAGATGTCAGGGGTCCTCATATTAAACCATAAATTGAATGTAAACCCAATCAAAAGCCCACAGGATCTTTAACCATAAATTGAGCTGGCTGATTTGAAAATATATCTAAAAGCAAAAATGCATTCAAACAGCCAAGGAATTTTTGAAAAAGCCTAATGAGATAAATCTTGCCTTACCTGACATTTATCCAATCTTATAATCCTAGAATAGAATACAAATGGTACAGTTTGGGAACAGGAATATGCATATAGATTGAGAGATGTTGGAGTTTGTGAAAATGTGCAGTCCTGAAGCTTAAATTGTCTTAGCTTCGCTGTAAATCTGTCTTTGACAATGTATAAAAAACATACTATATAAAGATCAAGTTGGGTTCGCCATAGTAAAAAAAGTTTAATGTTTGAAAATGTTCTGTTATGTACCACATTAACAGATTAAAGGGAAAAACTATACGATTATCTCAATAAATGCAGGAAAAGCACTTGAGTAATTCAGTCTGTTCATGATTTTTTCTTTTTGAGGAAGATTAGCTAATTGCTGCCAATCCTCCTCTTTTCACTGAGAAAGACTGGCCCTGAGCTAATATCTGTGCCCATCTACCTCTACTTTATATGTGGGATGCGAACCACAGCATGGCGTGCCAGGCAGTGCCATGCTCACACCCGGGATCTGAACCGGTGAACCCCGGGCCGCCGAGAAGTGGAGCGTGCACACTTAACCGCTGGGCCACTGGGCCGGCCCCTGTTCATGATTTTTTTAAATGGTCATATCAAAATGAGAAAAAGGAAACCTCCTTAACCTATTTTTAAAAACCTATAGAAGACATAGAACAAACATCATAAGCACTGGTGGTTCTTTTAAGACCAGGAACAAAATAAATACATCAGCTACTCTTCAATCTATTCAACATTGTACTAAAGGTCCTAACCAGTACCCTAAAGCAGAAATGAATGAAAACATTGAATACATATACAAGGCATAAGGATTGGAATGGAAAAACTAGACTTTCATAATTTGCTGATGATACAGTTATAGAAAAAAATCTAAAAGAATCTACAGATCAATTATTAGCTATAGTTAGAAAGCTCAGTACAGTTGCTACACAAAATCAATAGGCAAAACCAATTGAATTTCTAGGTTCCAGAAGCAAATGTTAGAAAATCTATTTTTTTAAAAAAGATACCATTACACCAGGGATGAAAAATATTGAGTAAAAGGAACATGACAGAAGAATGCATATAGTAAAGATTCCATTCATATAAAGTTGAAAAACAAGCAAAATTGGGCCGGCCCGGTGGCGCAGCGGTTAAGTGCATACGTTCTGCTTCAGCTGCCCGGGGTTTGCTGGTTCGGATCCTGGGTGTGGACTTACACACTGTTTGTCAAGCCATGCTGTGGCAGGAGTCCCACATATACAGTTGAGGAAGATGGGCACAGATGTTAGCTGAGGGCCAGTCTTCCTCAGCAAAAAGAGGAAGATTGGCAGCAGATGTTAGCTCAGGGCTAATCGTCCTCAAAAAAAAAAAAAAAAAATGCAAAATTAAGCTACATTCTTTAGGATGAAATATCCAGGTGTTAAAACTAAAAGAAAAGTAAAGATTTGATTATTTAAAAAGTCAGGATAGTGGTTACTTCTAGGGGGAGGCTGG